ACCACACACACACACACACACACACACAGAGGATTGTATGTTCTGCAAACTTGCTTGCTCTTGCAAAATTGAGTTCTTGCCACACACAGACCTGTTAGAAAATACCTGTATGCTCTGAGCAATGATTCAGGATAAAGGTGTGAGCTCATTATAAAAATAAACCAAAGCAAGGATATAATGAATACTGGTGGAAGATATAAAATGTGGCATTTTAATGCAAACTAGGAACCTGATAAGAAATTGACTAGTCAGCTTACATCTCCTTATCAGCAAATATCAGACAAATATTTGATTGATTATTAATCTAATTATGAATGAATAATTGCAATTGCAGGCTTTTTGAGACATAGGTGGCATAACTTTAGTGAGGCAGGCCAGCATGGGCCTGTAAATAGGTAAGTAAGCCACTGCACAAGCTCAGGCTTAATCATTTCAGTATCTACTGAATGTGAGACTCCCTAACTGAACTGAGTCATGAGAAGCCCTGTCCCTCACTCTTGAAGACACTTTGAGACACAAGCTAAGTCCCTACTTGTGAGAAGTTACTCAGAGTGGTGCTATTATGTGCTCCATACCCTGTTATTCCTGTCCTGCTCCTTGACCTCCTCCTCCGTCACCCCGTGCCGTAGCATTATCCGGACGATAGCCGCGTTGTTGGTGCAGCACGCCTGGAAAAAAGACAGCGGCTCCGGGCACTTCGGGGACGGGGTCCGCTCCGAGTCCGCGAACACATCATCAGGCGGGTAGAAGGAGTCGTCCGACACGATGCTCCGACAGTCCTCCAAGTCCTCGAAGTCAACTTCTTCGAATTCACCATCGTCTTCCTCCTCTCCATCGTCGTCGTCATCGTCCTCTTCGCAGGAGCCCAGGTAGTCCTCGTCAGAGTTGGACGGCGGCTCCTCGGCTATGGTCGGGTAGACCTGGGTGACTTTTTGCTGCTGCTGGAGCTGTTTGACCCGGACAGACGAAGCGCCTCCTCCATCCCTGTCGTCCGTGATAAGCACCATCTAACCCCCGAGCCTAGGGCACTGTCCTCGGGGCAGAGTGCAGCCTGGCACGTGGGGCGCGGGCATGGGACTGGCTGTCTCTCTAGACAAGAGCGGAATCAAACTACCGAACTTTAAAAGAAAAAAAAAAGTCACTCACAGGGTCTCACAGGACTTTAAACCGCACAAACTCCTCGACCCTGTGTCGCATATATCAGTGGAGCATGTTGCGCGTGCCGTTGCCCGTCAGTCATCTTCGCGGGGTTGGTGACATCGTGCCCTGTGAGCCGTGAACGTCCCACGATGTGCCCTCAAAACGAAACCACGCTGTAGTTCCAGTTAACCGGTGCGAGGCACGGCAGCGCGAGAGCTTCAGCAACAACAACAAGAAAAGTGGAGCTAAAGCAGAAAGTAAGACTGCACGACCGTCCCATGTAGGGCGGAGAGAGACAGCAGCCTGTTAACCCACAGTCTCCTAATCCGATTAGATTGGACTGGGACCTATCTCTCTCTCTCTCTCTCTCTCTCTCTCTCTCTCCCTCTCTGTGTATTTACAAGAGATTAATTCTACTCTCTGCTCTGAAGTGGAACATTAATGCTCTTTGGATATTCATAAAGGTGTCTTTGTGGTTCACTTGTATGTGTATTTATATGTATGATATTGCATTAGTATGCCTATTTAAATTTTGATTCATTCAAAAGTAAAAAAAATAATAATAATAATTCTGTTTCATATATGGTCTTTATCTAAAATTAAAGCATAAATAGGCAGTTTATGTGTGACTTCCCTCCTATTAGTTCTTAAGCACCTGCCAGTACACCTAACACTAGTCATTCTTCTGTATTGCTCTGGATACCACATTATGTTTGACAAATAGTTTATTTTATGCTACTTTCTGCCAGGCTTTTGTGGTTTCATTCGTCACTGAAAACAAAGTAGGCACTTTTTAGAAAAGAAAAATCCCCTGTGTGTACATCTGCTTCATGTAAAACTCACGTGGGGGAAAGCTGCATTCATGTGTCAGACTACGATGAGTCATTTAAACCAAAAAGGGGAAGGCCAACTTTCAGGCTAATAAGGCAGATTAGGTTCCAATTAAGTGATTAGCATTATTAAAATGATTGTGGCACATGGGTTACATTTAGTGTGATTCTGAGATCATTTATTTTACACAGCCTCGGTGCATTCTGCTCAGTTACCACTCTTGCTCTTATTTCCTTGGCCACTGGCCAGCTGAGATAATAGAGACATAGATTGGGCTCTATTACTTGGCACTGAACTATGGTGAGAGTCGGGTTTGCATTTGTGCACTTGTATAACCATTTCGTCTGATGGAAAATTCATATTAATTTCTAAGAAAATAAATGCCGTTCATCTAGTGTGCAAAAAAGGAGCAACTGTGTGAGCGTGACCAGAAAAGTGAGCACGAACATGACTGAAAAATAAGTTGGCAAGTAACCCCAAATAAGGGAACTAAAACTGGAACAGGTATGGTGTCAATTTTGTGCTTGAAATTCTTTCAAAGCATTATCATAATATAGATTCACTAAGCAGACAGTTGCTGTCTCTGAAATGACATTAGATTAAGATCGATCCCACTAGTAGCATCAGATTCTTCACAGGATGTGCCGGGCTGCTTTTTGCTGCTACAATAGATATCATATGTATGGAAAAACAGGGGGTTTACATCAGCTGGGTACACATTTGACCTCCGCCTTGACCTCTGCACCCTATTTTGATGTTACCCAAAAAATAAATATATATTATATAACATGTTGTTTTCCCTATACACAAAAAAATGTTTATAACTAAACAGAGTAAAGTCAGAAGAGATTATTATATTATTATGATTTGCTGTTACTGAAGAATGTGTGCCTAAATACTACAATATTTTGATACGCAGCCAGATTAACAGAGATGATCCTTTTTTTCTCTCAGTAATTAATAACATCAGTTTGCTGACATCACCTGCTGTGGAAAAACAGACTGCATAACAGTCCCAGTGTGTACCCATTATTGTTATACCTTCATCTACTGCCAGCTGAGAGCTCTGCTCTCCTGTGGCTCTTCCATCTCTATGGTATCAGTCGGCTGCTGTGTGGTTGGCAGTCAGTGCAAGCACTTCCACAGATAAATATCTGTGAAAAGTTTTACCGTCAAGTGAACCCACAGACAAAATCACCAGAGAACGTAATGGTAAAATGTAAGTCCCCATCCTCAATTTAACTTTGATTGAGGAAAAAGATATCTCAGGACTGAAGGTTGTACTCTCCATTTCTGATGTTAATACCTTGTTTATCTGGCCTGTAACTCATCCACTAAATCTTGTATATATCTCACATGGTAATTATGAACAGACTATGTGTCCATGCAAGTGCAAGTAAATTTTAGTTTTAGGCTCATGAAGGCGAGAGACTAAATTCTTTTTTAAAAAACAGGCAAGATGGTTAAAACATTATCAATATTCAGTAGTTCCACATCATTAGAATAAATTAATTGGAAAACTGTCAGTAGGGGTACCATCTTCTACCCTTTCTACCTGTTTCACCTTAAATATCCCTGAATATTCACTAATATTCACTGGCTATAAATAAAGGAAACAAAATATGGGGTAGAAACTCAATATACTGCAATACAACTCAAGAAAACCAGAAAATAACCATAAAATCTGCATCTCTTTAAAATAATGAGAACCAAACACACAATTTCAGGGTTGCTGTATTAGACTGCATCACTTTTAGCTAAGTGGACCTAATAAACTGGCTCGAGGAAACATTTAGTTTCATGTCAAAATTTTCACAGGTTGAAAGAATGTATTGTACAAATATTATGTGCGAACATTTGATACATTTTATTGGCATAAATAAATGAGCTATTCCAGTTGTTCGCATTATATTGATTTTATGACAATATCTATAAAACTGGTGTTTTATAACAAATATAATAATTTAACATTAACAATTTAATCCTATAAATTATTCAATATTGCAAATTGTAGTAGAAAATACTGCAAGTAGCCTGGTAAAAAAAAACAGGCCTAGCGATATTTGCCTTTTATATTACCCAATATTATTGTGTCTCTGTCTTATTGTGTTTTGTTGTTATATGATGTTTAGACACCTGTATTATGGATTCAAAGCTCACGGTGGTCTAGGCTTGATCCCAGATCCCTTTTCCATATGTACAACGCCCCATACTCACTGTTCGACTGCAATATACTGTGATATTGTACAGTACTGTTGTATGACCATTTGAAAAATGCATTCACCTTCTGCGATGTGCACATGTAGTCATGTAAGACTTAGGCATGCTGTAAATAGTACAACACTAGCAACACCATTACTTGAAGGGCCAATTGCATTAGCTCAACCTAGGCTCAGAAAAAAAAATCGAAATCCCCGGACAGATAATCACAATGAGCTCTTCTGCGAATTTGTGTGTGTGTGTCTGTGTCTGTGTGTGTCGTGTAAATGGTTTATACAGGGTCCCTTATCCATTACATTTTCAAGGCTGTTTTAACTAACTATGTATACTTAGTGAGAGTATGGCACTCCAAAGCTGCATTCATTTACTATTTTAAACTGTCTCTTTTTAAATGCCATTTTGTTTGCAAAATATTTGTTAATATTTTCTTGAAGAAGTCATCACATGTTGGAAAACCTAAAATACTCATCAAGAATTCATCAGGTTGAGGTTAACAAAAGGTGGTCTTTGGAAAACTACAGTCCCCTCCAACAGCTCCACTACACCTGCCGCAATAGGGAGAGATGAAAGGGTCCACGTACTGCTGAGTTCAACCCTCACTTGCTACAGTAATCCTGGCATGTTGCATTAGTTAATCATTTCTGCAACCCAGCTCCGCTCCTAGCCTATAAAAGCAGCCATAAGCAGAATGATCATTGTGCATGTAAGCAAGGGAAAGCAAATATAAGCATACTGGTCTAATATTGAGAAGTTACACGGACATGGAAGCACTGCGGGATGACCAAAATGTCCCCAAAGCGGTTGTTTTAAATATGTCTTTGGCCATCTGCACCACCGCCCAAATGTCCCTTTAAACTGAGAAATGACGGTGGTGTGGAAGGCTCTTTATATAAAAGGCCTGTGTTGATCGTAAATACATTTCTCTCAGTAGAGCTCATACAGTATATGCCTGCATCCCACATGCACCAAATGAGCGTATGACCTTGGTGCTGCTAGGTTTAGACAAGCTCCTGCAGTCCCTCATTCATTTTTTCCTCCTGAAACCACAAACAGCCAAAACACCCCAACACACCATGGTCTCTTCTATGGCATACCTGAAGCAGGAGTGCCATACAAAGATCTCCTATGAGTCTCCTCTTGACACAAGCACTGAACTGTTTAGGTTTGTGTGTGTGTGTGAGGGTAAAGAGAACGTGTGAGTGTTTGTCAGGTTTTAAACGGGGCCACTTGTGCCTTAAGATTTGCCTTAAAATGTTGTTTATCCACTTCATACCAAAGGCCTAATGTCTGATTATTAATAGCTTGATTGGAAACTCTCCATATTATTGCTTAATCAGCTAATGAGGCCGGGACAGACAACACTGTCTATTCAAAAGCTAAGAACTACACTTCAATCTAGGGACAGAAAAAGCTTTTGCTGCCGGCTGAATAGAAGAAATTCAACAATCCACAAGTGGTAATTAACTAATTTTAATCAGTCAGCAATGGCCCTTAATTAAGCTCTTTTTATGATATGTTTTCATGTGTGTAAGAACAGGTCCCAAATATAGCCTGGACAAATCAATTTCATGTATTGTTGTTAGCATATCCCCCAAACATTGTTAGACAGTAAACACAATCCAATAATAAATAGACAAAAACATTACATAAAATTACATAATCTATACTGTTAAGCGAATGAGGCCCTTTGCAAAAGAGTTAAGTGTGACAGCACTGAGTAACGCCGCAAAATAAAAGTGTGATTCTTCTCTTCTTGCAGAGATTGTCCTCTTACACACAAACACACAAATAACCTTGCTGTAATGGTGAGGCAGAGTGGTGAAGCCAATGCGGAGGTGTCTTAAAATGCTGTTCCTCTAATGGCTGCAGGATACTGGCACCAACAAGTACCAGAATGTGTTGAATTCGGTGGGAAAAACTCCTCCAACTTCTCTCTTGAAATACATAGTAATTATGTATTATTTTCAGGTCTGAATGAATTCATTTGACATCCGCTAACATGCGCTACAGTGGGGATTATAAAATCATTGTTCCATTAAGGAAGTAATGAGGCTTAAAGAGAAAAATGCTTTGGGGGTGTTTGCTTAAATGACAGGTGCCTGTCACAGCTAGAAGCGGAGGTTTGTTTCATCCAAACTTAGCTTTAAAATAATAGTGAGTTGCAAACCAAAATCCTTGAGGAAGGGGATGTCAATGGCATAAAGTCTGTGATTCTACTTACACCAGATACAGTGTAGTGGTAGGCATTTCAAGCTGACTCTTCTAGTCACACCAGCAAACACATGCTACACCCTGCACTCACCACCAGATCTTTTAGGATTTGGTTCAGCTTTCACTGTTCCGCATACAGCTTTAATTTCTGTCTTTCATAGCTCTCGTTCAGCTCTTGAGGTTGCTCTGGCAAAGTTTGATGAATCAGGAGGAGCTGAGTCCATATCATCCCGATGGATAAAATCCAGAGGTTTTATCATCCCTTGTTGGAGCTCCCTGGAACATATAGTATGCTGTTAGACATCCATGCACACATGCACAATACAATCTATAAGTCCTGTATATACAACTGAATAGCTAATGCAAATACCTCGGTTACAGTAACAGATAATTGATACATACTAGTACAGTCAAGCCTAAACAATAAATTCTAGACTGATTAAATCATGTAAAACAACCCATTAATGTTTAAACAAGTTTCTACAAAGCAGAGTACAGCTGTTCCGAGTACAGTAGAGCTGACTGATAACATATCCATGTTCTGCGACTTTAGAATACAGCATGAATCATGTTTTCCCTCATCCTTACCCTGAAATCTGTTACACAACAGCTAGAGAGAGGAACACTCAAATGGAGCCTTTGTGTCCGCTCTCTCTTCTCCTGTCTCTTTCGCACTGCTCTGCTACATTCGTCGTGTCCCTGGAGATGTGATGTTATGAGCAAAGCTTGAAGAAACAGTAAAGGTTGTGCAACAATGTCCGCCCTGGAGCTGAGATTCCTAAACCACTGACATCTTTGCAATGACATCATGTTGCTCCACAGTTCCAATATCCTAACACAATGGAGCACACAGCTCTGAAGCTGTACTGTATGAACATTGTACTGGAGGATGCAACTAAAAATACATCTAAGTTGCATGGAAATACATGTTCCTCTGTGAGGACGCTGTACGGTGAAAAGTGTGGGGCTTGTCTTTAAAAGCTGGCGTAATAATAAACACATGGTAAGATCCGTAGTACACTGCCTAGGTGAATTATACATGAATAGAAAGTAGAATTTACAGTCATTCAAGACAGATGCTACCTGAGAAGACAATCATTTCTGAATAGAACAAGTGCACAGGTGCCAGTTTTAATTGGTTTCAGTTTTAGACCGATTACCGAAACCAAGTAGTTTGGTGTTGTTGGGTCGCTGTCCCCTAATAGTTGACTAAACCAGTAGTTTATGAGAAAAGTCTTAGTCTTCCCATTTGTCGCATAGTTGCAGAAAAACAAAAAGCTGCACCTTCTCACAAGTATCTGGGGATTGTTGCAACACGGGCTATTCTCTCGTAACACAGGAAGTCTTTTAGCGGTGTAATGCTACATGTGCTAACTGTACTCGCTCCTGCCACTACCTACTTAGCATCCTATTAGCTGACTGTACCGGGAATGTGAGCTCAAGGGTTAGGGTTTACACCATTAGCGCAGGAGCTTTGGATGTGGAGTGGGGCTGGAATGAGTATCAGAGTGTGTAAGGTGTAGGTCAGCCGTCGGAGGCCAGGCAGGAGAGACGTGAAGCAAGAGAGGAGTATTTGTTTTTGTGAAGTTGGAAGTTAATTATTTTGTGTTTTGAACAGCGAGATGTGTGAAGTTATGCTGTGTTGAAAAAAATGAACTAAATGTTCACAGCTCGTTGGTTGTTCGGAAACAGCTTTTTGACTTTGTTAGATAGGACGGCTGAAGAATGACAGGACAGGGGGAGAAAGAGAAGGGATGACACACAGCAAAGGGCCACAGGTCAGATGCAGCAAGGACTCCACCATCTGTTATCATTTAAAAGGCAACTGGTAAAAATATATAATTAAACAACTAATGGCTTGAACTAACAACTATTAGTCGACTAGTAAAATCTTTAGTCAGGGGACGCCTTAAAATGCTTAACTGAAGACGTGCAGAGATGGAAAACCAGAAAGGCAAGATGGTATAAAAGTAAGGATCTAGTTTTTTTCTGGTATTTTTCTCTTGGAATTAGTTTTGCTTTTCTTGTTCACTGTCTATGTCAGTGAACAACAAAATGTAATTTAAAACAGTAAAATCGAACACAATTTCCACTGGGTGTCTTAAACTGTGTTTCACAAGTCAGCGATGTTGTGTCAGCTCCATCCCAATAGTCCCTGTGCCACTGGAAAGTACCAACTTGAAATCGGGGACTGTAAAAGGGACTTTCCTTCTGTAAAATCTGTGGAGCAGTAACTATGGAACCAAAACTGGAGGTTCCTTGTTTCCAATGTTACATTTTCTATTGAATAAATAAAAAACTGAACATACTGCTTACCTATGTTCTACTACTACTTCTACTGTGTGCTTCACAAAAAGATCTGTTTTCAGCCCTGACAAAATTCCTCTTCTGCTGTGTCATACGAGTGGAGAGCCTGCAGTTATCGGGTTATCTGGGATTCTATCTGTCCTCCAATCCCCTTTGACTCGGCCACAGCTGCAATCCTGCAAGGGGTATCCTCCTCTACTAAAACCTACTGCCAACTATGCCTCAACTGTGTGAGTTCCCACTGATGCTGTTTCCTGTCCTGCCTGTTGGGATACTCAGTCTGTCTGTGTGTGTTAGAGGCAAAATAAAAGATGTTCTTAAGACCACAGATCATGCTCTCACAGTCACACATGAAACAGTGTCTCTTAATACATACAATACATCCTTGTAGACGTCAAATTCTCTGCCATACTTTAGAGAGACTGGGCGTGAGATTTTATGCAAGCATGTGTGTGCCTCTTAGATTTTGTGGCCCTGCATCTGATTAGTGTGCTTTCTGATTAGTATAATAAACCTGTTTGTGTGCAATGGTACTTTCCCATGTACAATATTGCATTGAGCAGTGAACAAAACACAGGGGGTTTTAGATCTAACACAAGCTGAAAATCACGCTCTTGTGCCCTCAGAGCTTATCTCCTTTTTCGTCTGCTGGGTGAAATGAATAGCAGAGAGGCCAAATGAGGTGAGGCTGCAAGGTGATTGGTTGTGTGTATGATAAATGAACTTTGGCTAACCCACACATAAGGGAACAGGCATTAAAAAGCATATACACACACTGCACCTGACAGTTTGTGCAAGGCAGTTTTGTGCCTCTCTTGCTGCTCATTAAAACCAACCTGACACAAAATAGTAGCCTCGTTCAGCTGGACAACGACACTGTGCCTGATTCTAACAATTAATGGGACCAATTTCTATGTAATGAAACAACAGCTGTGCTTAAAAGAAGCATTAGCAGGTCCATTTATTAATTGAACACTGTCATTTTGTTACTTCTATTCCTCCCTTCCTTCCTGTCTTCCATTCGCTTTCTGTCTCTCCTTCCTTCACTTCCTGCTGATGCAGAAGTTGGAAACCTGAATCATGCCGTTCTGCTTGTTGCTGTCGGGCGGAGAAACCAGTGCATCAGTGCAACAGCTCTACTCAGCAGCATAGGGATTTTCAAAACAGTGAATATCACTATCTCACAGCATCATCGGAGGCCAAGGGACCTGGCTTAGCTCTTAAACTCCCTGTACTTCTTAGCCTACTGGCATTGAGTGGCAGCAATGTTGGGGCCAAACAGAGTTAAAGCAGTGTTCAGCACATCCAGAGTCATCAATGCAGAAAACATACTGGCAACAAGAACCCCTTGAGTTTACAGTAGTTTTGAATGTATTTCCTGCATTATTTTATTAAATATGTCCCTTATTAAACACTGGTTTTTAAATGAAATGTGTAATTTTGTGTGTAATAATTCAATTTTGATTGAATCAATCTCTGGGCAACTTGTCAGCTATCTATATAAGCAACAAAATAAGTCACAAATAAAATATCTAGAAACGAAAAAGCTAACTGCACTTGTAGATATCATATGCCTTTGATTACTGACAATCTTCACAGACAAGAGTGAAATAAGGACTTAAATGAGATTTAACTGGAGCTCAAACCAAGGGGGATGTATTCAAATGAGAAAAATAATTGATGCATATGAAATAATTTTCCACTGCCTACATCCACTCTGCTTATTGCAAGTGGAAGTAGTAGTGAGGTAGGCTTCATTTCTACAATTGTTAACCATGACACACACACACACACACACACACACAGACAAACAACACCTACACTTGTGCCTGCAGGCTGCTGAGGAACTTGTCAATGTGTTCCTGTGGCATGTCCCCATCCAGTAGAGCCAGGTAGGTGTAAAGTTTGACAAAGGTGCTGAACGGGATCCTCGCAGCACCGCCCTCCTCATCCTCTGTCAGGATCTCACAGGCAAACTTCAGAGAACTCACGAGGGTCTGAGAAAGTGCACGCAGAGACGCAGAGAAGCAGACAGTAGGGGTTTGTCAAAAAAAAAACAGACACACAAATACAAAACACATGCATTCAGCGTTCGAGGACGATCACGTCTTGTTTAAGCACACACTGCAAATACACTTCCATGCAAGCGCACAACAGCCTAATGAAGGAAGAACATGACTGCCCTCATGTGGTTAAAGTGAAACTACTGACACTCAGTGCAATAAGGTTGGTAATCCTGAGCTGCTTTTGCAGATTTTAAGTCATCATCTGCAAAGTTCTCCATGCTTAAAGACATTCTCTTTAATCTGTCTCTACTGCTCTGTCTTTAACTTTGAAGCAAAATCATTGGCTCAATATCATAACAAAGATTCAAGAAGTCAAAGAAGGATTTATCCATCATTCGCTCTGGAGCCTGGGGACCCCGATGGAGAAGTTTGGATCACGGGCGTCTGGATCTCGTCTAAACACCTCAAGACTAGACTAGAGATGAAGAAAAAAGGTGCTCCTTGGGGATCTCCAGCTGCGCTTGGACTCACTGTAGGTTTTAAAACTCAAAGAAAGTTGTATAAAGTGGTGTTAGCATTTATTTCTGGTCTTATGTAACAATCTCACCCCTCCCAGAGCACTGCATCCCAGGGCGAAAAACTCCATCCAGTCGATATCTGGGCCAAAGTAGCCCAGCGACAGCAGGGCCTCAAGCTGGTCCATGGGTAGACACAGACCCTTCCATTTCTCCTGCAGTTGCTCCTTGCTGCATGTTTGTTCTGAGGACAGCTAATATGGGGCGAAGGAATGACAAAAAACATGAATAATCATTCAGTTTGCTGGAATAAACAGTCACATTAGATCTGGGGATCCAGACAGCCATGCTTCTCATCTTTTGTATGAGAAACAATGTAATAAAGACACATAAGTAGTCTATTACACCTGGTACATGCTCATAGATAGACAGATATATAAGAAGAACAGTTTATTCCTGCTCCAAGCTGGTAGATTGATATGTCCCAAACAACAATACAATTTTGTATTTGTGCTGGAGTTGTGACCATAAAGTTCGCATATTTATCTTTAATTATGGTTTTCATTCAAATTTCTAAAGCAAACCCAGTTTTAAACAATCAACAACTCTGCAATATTAATATTTCTGGCAGAAAGACAGAAAGAGATAAGCATCCTGACAAGGTTAAGGCTGCTTAAGTGTTGGCCTTTGAGGAAATATGAATTTTTCAGCTTCAGTTTTCAGTTAATGACTCCACCATTCCAAAATACCAGAGGATGCCTGAGGTGAGATAAAATTGGTTTACATTATGAAACTTTAATGATCCACATCCAGTAACAGCACCACTGCAATATGCAGATACACACACAAAAAACTAAATGTGTTATGGGTAAGCAAATGTGGATATTAAACTGAATCCAACCCAAAACAGAGGGCACAGTTATCAGAATGTGGCTCGTAGAGGATGTGTATATTCCAAACAGTAAGGCAAGCACGTAGGAAAACATGCACTATAATGCATTGCTTTTCTTCCAAAAGCAACAATATGAAGCAACACGGGATCAGTTATATTGTGGTTTTGCTGTAGAGAAAATACCTGTTTATGGAGAATCTTAAGCAGACCTGGAGTCAGCCCAGTGTCCGTCTTCTGGGTGGCAACATTCATCTCCAGCCTGTCCTTAACAGGCAGACACTCTCCTTTAGACAGTGCACTGAAGTATCTAATGGACACACACACACACATCAAAACACTGTGCACAGCTTCACCCTGCTTGCCACTCATCCCCCCTGCTTCCTAAGCATGCCAATCAAATAAAGCAATAAAAGCAGACTGTGTAAAAAAAGGCCCAAGTTATGGTATTAGTCCAATTTAATGAGTTCTCATGAGTATAAATCATCATGTGTTTGGTTTTCTTGGACTGAAATTCAGCGGTATTCTATTCTGTTATTATTATTATTATTATCTTCTAATGCTAAAGGCCATGCTGTTATCTTACTTCACAGTTCCAATAATATGTTAGTGATTTTAGCATCTCTGAGAGGCAACAGAGGCTGGTGTTACTTTAATAGCATATAAACATCACATAACCCAGGAGACATTTGAATTGTTTTTCTGTTTCACCACATGGCTCACGTTATTGTCTTTTGCTGTAAACACGGCCAAGCTACAGTGGCCAATAAAACAGCAGATAATATGTCAGTCCTTGGGGGTACAAAGAAACTCCTGATGTATTCAAATTTCACCCAGTACTTTAAAAGTGCCTTTTTCTTTGTTGGAGAAAGTCAGATAGTTTAACCGCTGCAGTAACATTGAAGCCCCTGGGATCCAATTATAGCCAGTCAATGCAAAGATGAGAGACGCACAGGTGAAAAGTGTACGCCTTTTCACACGGCGATGCTGCCTGGAGTCACCGTTTATGGTATTGTTTAAGTTAAGAGATCAAGATTGGAATAAAACCTCCCTGACAGATGAGAACTTACGCTGCAGACCACAGCAGCAGATCCTTGGGCTGCGTGCGAATGGCTGCCTTAGAGAAATTTTTGAGGATGTCTGGCAGCTCGGGAGGGATGTTGATTTGCTGGGCACAGTAGATTGTGTCTGGAAGAGGCATGGCTGCAATATAGAACAATGCACTTTAGTCCAATTAGCAGATGAGACCTCACAGATAGAAAGCCGGAGAGAACAGAGAAGAGAAGAAAAGAAAAGTGGGAGCTCCTTGGCCATTTCAAACTGTACACGCTGGCAAAAACACAACATGGAAAAAATCAATTCTGGTTCTCTTGACTTTAGCTATCAAATGTTGGGAACTTTGAGAGGCATTTACTACCAATTCAACATGTTTTAAACGTGGAAAAGCTACAGACATGTATGCTTCGTGGTGACAAGAGGTTCCTGTATAATGAAAGGAGCCATGCTGGGGAAGAGCCCGTTCATTGCAGAGAATAAAGAAACAAACATAAGGACACCAGAGAGAAGGTTACAAGCAAGAAAGTCATTCTGTGTTGAAAAAGCATTTCCACTTTCGGTTATATTAACGTTACGGAAATATAGCTTTATCTTATTTAACTTAATTTAAATATATATTCAACGTTACCAGGTAACGTTAAGTTGGTTAATATAATGTAACGTTAGATGTTGACATTATTCTAGTAACTTGAGTAACTTTAACTGTCAAAATATGTTGCGCATTAAAATGTTTAACGTTACCTGGATAATGAACAAGGGGCAGCAACTCGCGGACAGTTGTTTAAAGATATAACGTTATGTGGTTAGCTCCAATAATGCTAATAAACGTTAACTTATGTCTGGCACTTGAGTTTTATATTGCAGCATCGTCGCATAGCAACAGAGTTCTTCGTTTGTTTTCTAAGGCTGCAACGCCGAGTGAAGTGTATTAGCGCCCCCTGCTGCTCAGGGGAGTGCAGAGCCTTTAAGATGTGGCTCTCAGAGCGGACAAAGGACTTCTTTTTACTTTTCAACCGCGTCTGACGAATAAAACTACTAAATTATTTGACTTTCACTCTTCTGAAAATTAATTCTAAAAAAGGTCTGATGCGCCATCTTTGTACAACTGAGACTACCCTAAAAACAATCCCAATGTACAAAAAAAACCAAAAAAAACATGGACTAATTATAGTGATTGCAGAGTGGACTGGTTGGACAGCATTGCAACCAGTACCTTGTTACTGATTATAGAAAAATAAAATTAAAGTTAAATTTACACCTTTGTGGACAATGTGATGACAATTCTCCATCCACTCAGAGGATGTGACAGCAATTGGTAAGTCTTGTAACCGGCCTTTGTGGTCAAGTAACTGAAATGGGTGACTCCATGTCCCCCCAGATTCAGTGGTCCTGTTTAATCTGGTCATCATATAATTGAAGGAGACACTCTGCATGGGAACAATACACTGAATCTTTCAAACCTGCTCCACAAAGGTTACCTACTTGTGCAATGCCCAGGAAAATGTGTTGGATACAGGCCAGGACAATGTTGTCATCCTATGTTATCCTGGGAAAAAAGTGCTAGAACTGGTGCAAATTAATTTGTCTTCCTTGTCAGATTAGATCAGATAGAACTGCCCCACATCAGCTGACACACATTCAGACAAACAATGACAGACACCATTCTGTGTCAACACACACATTTATTGAAGTGATGCCATAAACAGGCAAAACATCATATTGACCATTTTATTATTAAACAGCTTCTTGAAAATACAGGTTTACACAGACTGTGATTAGAAAATAATAGTACAACTACCAGTATTTGGTAACCGAACTGACATGGACAATTTAAAAAAAGCAGAGAATCACCCAAACCACACCCGACGCTCAAAAGAAGTCAGCAACTATGATAGACAAAGAGAGAAAAATTCATACTTGTGCAATAGGCACACATGCACATTCACACAATCACTGTCAGGTCATATACACTGGTAGGTGCACATTTATTCTAGCACATGTATAAATTGAGTAGAGTAGGTAGAATCTGCTTTTGAAATCCCTTTCAGATTCAACTAACTTAACATTTAGAATGGGAGCCATGTGATGCAAACAGCACAGCGTTTTCCCTCCCAAGTTATTACATTGGGCCAAACAAAATTTGTCTAAAAAGTAATTATTAAACAATGATAAGGATGGACTCTAGCAAAAAATAAAAAATAAAAACAACAACACAAGGTATCTGGACTAGATAATGGACTAGATAATGGTATCCCAAGTCCCCTTTTACCCCTCTCGAATGTCATCTCTTTCTCCACTTGATACAAAAATAAATCTGTGCTTCCCCAAAAACCCACCCTGGACACTTTCCTGTGCCTATAAAACTATCGAGGATCAGATAATACCCCCCAGTGACACCTTCGGGCAGGAACTACACTGTCCCCAACCAACTATTACCCCATAAGCTTCTTTCCCTGCCCTGGACGAGACTTGGGCCAAGTCATCATTTGAGTTCCAAGTGCAGTTATGCGATTGATGGTTCGTGTTACACAATGGATCCAAATGCACTCTTCACCTCGAAAGCGTAAAAACATCAATCTTGCACAATATTCAGACTAAAGGAATTCCTCACAGATAACTGAATGATTTGTAATTGACCCAGCTCTGTCCTCGGCTGGCATTCCCAAAAGCATTATAGCGTGCAGGCAACATTTTGAGTCAATGCAAATGGGAAAAAATATTTCTAACCTTTCCATACATTGATTCAGAGTTACTGAGTATTAATTGTTTAGATGGATTGCATACGAGACGTGAATGTGGGCAATACTCGCTATAGACTTCAAATCAGTATAGAACAGTGGACAATACAGACCAATGCATTAGGGAAAGATAATGCTCGTCGGTCAATGGGATTTTCTTTTTCTCTATTTACTGAGTATATACCTCCAAATGATTTTAAATGGGAGATCTTGTGTTGCTGTTTTATGGTGGGTTCAATCCCATCCCTGATGATTTCCTCAAAGTGAAATTATCTTTATTCTGTAGCTGGATAATGATTATTAAAAGCACTTCTATGCTTTTGGGAGACCAGGCCTTACCCGCTACAAACACCAAAGCTGGCCAGGCGGTCAGTCACAGGGTTCTGTCTTTCCTCGGTTCTATCTCTTTCCCCTTTTGTTACCAGCCGGGGGTTTCTTGAGCTGGAGAAGGGGCCCTCCTGTGCCGAAGCCCGCGGCAGGTTGGTTAGACACGCCAAAGGTCAGGCCGGCCGAGGGGTTGATGCCAGGGTTACTGAAGTTAAAGCCTGAGCTACTGCTGCTACCAAAACCTAGAAAAGCAAGAGACAGGGGACACAGGAGGACAAAAAGGACAAATATAAGAAATGTTAGAGAAAACAAAAGTAATGGGTAAAATAAATGATGTCCGCATGAAATACAGATATCATCCACCTGTTGGCAAACCCCATATTCTTAAATGTGCTGTGGCCAAACTTCCAGCAGTCTTGCATAAAAGGCTTACAAGACTAAACAAAGATGATGCTGTTGATAAAACCTATTTTACAGCACAGAGGAAACCAGAGAAACGTATTATATAGCTGCATAGTTTTGAAGCTCAAAATAGCTTGAAAATAATACGTATACAGGAAGCTTGTCCGACTGCATCTGAGAACATATGCTCAAAGGATTATCACAATTCAGGAAGTACACTTGCAAACACAAGCCTACTCAGACTCTAGTTGTACTGTAATTCTTCGGGGGTCGGGTGTGAAGGGGGTATACACAGTATATGTATGTACCTGCACTCAGACTGCCTCCTGTGGGCTTACTGGTGGAGGAGAAGGCAAAAGAAGACCCCCCAGTCCCCACCCCACCAAATCCTGGCCCACCACCAAAACCTGTGGGAGAGAGTGACATGGAAGTCAGTTTGGGCTCAGACAGTAGACAGACTAAACTAGGGATGGATAAAAGGAGCATTGCCCTCGGGAGTACACACAGGCAGGCATTAGCAAACATGAGCAAAACAAATGCCACAACCTAATCAATGGAGCACTACACACAGCTTGACTGGAGACTGCAGAACAAAACAGCACGGTACACTGCATGGCAAAGCAAAGGGAGAAACACTAAACCAAACACACCAACTACAGGAGAACACACCAACTCAGTGTGCGTTCAGACCACTTGTTCCCACACTGCCAAGTTACTTTTAACCGGCTGTTGTGGCCAAGTGGATTTGCCAGTTGACATCCAAAACATATTTTTTTTTATATATTAAAATACATTTTTGGGGTCAAATTTCTCCTCACTCAGGAAATAAATCATCCAACTTATCACATGTCAACGTACAGCGACCTGTGACAAGTGGTTGCTCAGTTTTCTTGTGGTGTGAACGCACTTGACCTCTCACACTAGAAAGAACAGAAAAAAAAAAAGCTGCCAAGCTTTGACTGCGCACTCTCTCTCACACACACACACACACACACACACAACCACTACTTTCATACACGAAGACCTTAAACAAAAAGGCTGCTTAGCATTAAAAGCTAGGAGGAATTAGAGAAATGGTGTGTGTAATGTAAGGGAAATATAAAAAGGAATATTCATTTAAAAAAAAAAAAAAAAGGCAGAGGTAATACCTCCAAGGGTAGAAGAGCCCAAGCTAGTGCCCACTGCCGAGGCAAAGGGGTTTCCAAACCCTGCCCCCAAGGGTGCCTGGGTCCCTAAGGCAGAGAGAGCATATGTTTTACTCCACTGAAGGTGTTTTGTGTGCGAGGTAAACTATTCTCCTCATCTCCTTTGACAGAAAAAAGCTGGTAAGAACATTCACCACAGAACAAAGACACATGGCGTAGCTTGTGACTTGCACTACTGTCAAATAAAACTGACTTCCTCTTCACTTTGACAAAATGAAACGTGAAAATATGCATATGAAGAATCCAATAAAAAATCCAATACATGTAGTTTTCAGTAGCTTGCTTTAAAATGCAACAGATCGTATAGGAGTAATTTAGCATAGTGGTTGTTTGTAGGTACACTAAAAGATAAGCAGCAGCTATGTAACAACTCCACATAACCCTCATATGGTGCTTAGAAGTATAATATATACACACACTACAGAATAACTACAGAATTGGGAAAAGCAGCATGCTTCAGTGCACACATATATGTACTTTATAAAATACTGTTAGAAAGTTTTTAAACTAGAACATCAGCTTATCAGCAGTGCAGTTATGGTTGCTGACAAACTGGGAAAAAATGCTGCTAGTTCTTTCACTCAGAAACTTGTCTTTTGTCCTCTATGCAAATCTTTTTATGTATTCAATTTTTGCAAGGTTTCCAATTAGTCTGCATAGTTAAAAGAACTTCAGTCGAAAAGAAACAAGGACAAACGTTTCTTTGTTTAAAAATGGATTTATTGTCAATTTAATATGCAATTCCACTTACATAAAACACAAACAAACAGTTTAGAACATAATTGATTGTTAATTTCTAACTGCTACTGCATTTGACAAGTTTCCAAATTTTCAAGATTTCTGAGAGTGAATGAACTAGCAAACGCCAAAAGAAAAATGCATCACACAATTATTGAATATAGCTTAAAAAGGCACACCATATTATATATTAAATATACTGTATCAACAGGCATTGGTTATACAAGTTTAAACACATTCGTCTACAAGTAAAAGCACTCGAGATTTAGATAAGAAATGTGAATTTGGCATCTATGGCTGCCTCTCAGTGTAAACTGGTCAAAAACAAAAACTCAGTGATATGTTACAGTTCGCCTGTGGAAGTCTAGGTGGTCACGTTTCGGACCACCCTTTCAACAGGAATTGAATGATCTTCGTGGTTTGTGTTTGAACACTTTTCACCAGTGTATGCTTAGACATAATA